GGAGTGGGGAATCAAACCCGGTTCTCCCAGATTAGAGTCCGCACACTTAACCACTACACCAAACCACTACACCCTACGCCAAACCACTACAGCCCCATAGCCAGGGATTTTTTTGGGAGAGGGCATCAGGGCCCCCGCAGCCAATTAAATCAATGTTAATTACATTAATTCAATTTGGGGCCAGCCCAGGAGGGAGGTGGACCAGGAGAAATGCTAGGGGACTGGCCCCTGTGGTCTCCCATCCAAATACTAACCAGGGCCGACCCTGCTTAGATTCTGAGATCTGATGAACTCGGCAGGCCTGGGCTATTCTAGGTCAGGGTGCATCTCCTATACACGAGTCAAAATGGTAACTTTCCAAGACAATAGAAGCATTTTAAGACAAGATGGAGATGGTCTCCTTGTTTAGCTCCCCTTACGGGCAATCAAATGCAAACTGTGAACGATCAATGGCCTTCCCTCCTTGCGATGAGACAATCGTCTTCCCACTTCGGTCTCAAGAGAGGATGTACGACAACCCCCGTCGCTCTTGTTACCAAGACAATTTCATTAGCTGTTGATTATGCAATCAAGGGAGTGCAGCAGGTTCCATTAAGGAATCCTTTAATGAAAGCTTTATCACACCACAGTATTGTTTTTGTATTCATTATGAGTCTTGTTCGGGTGGCGCGGGTGTGCAGTCTGCATAACGGGTGAGGATGTGCCGGTCTTAAGTAGACCTAACGAGAGGTCGTTTAAGGAGCAGCTTAAAGATAAGACCACCAATTAGATCAAATTTATACAAGAGGGAAAACCAGGGAGGAAGAGAGGAGAGGAAGCCAATTGGCTTTCTGTTACAGCGAAACTGTGACACCGAAGCAGACAGTTTTGCTTTTCTACACCATTAAACTGCACGGTGACAAAAGGAACTTGGAATTCTTCTCTTTCGAAACAGTGCTGGTTGTTAATGTTCCCAGTGATTATTTATACCTTTGCTTAAAATGGTATGTTTGCCTGCCTGCTCCATACTGTAATCACCTTTTGCACGGCTATCCATGATTATCAGCATCTTGGGTGGCCACTCTCAGAGACCAGACAGACCCTGGTCTTAATTCTTACATTGTGGTGGCTACTTTTACAAATGCTTGAATTCAACCATGGGGGTATCTTCCACATTACACCAAAGTCACTTCTGGCTTCTCAGTCGATGCAGTCTCATGAGACAGGAGCAACAAACTAGGCCTCCCAGAAGGTATACTTCAGCCATCACTTGCGTTTACTGAATCCATACATTATACTTTCAAGTAGATGTCTACAACATCTTTGTGTACTTCTACAAAAACAGAACGTCCTCATCCTCAACTGTTAAAACTTTGAGAAAGACTTTAATTCCCCACCACCACCACAGTCTACACGCATTTCACCTTCTGCCAAACTAACCGGACAAATTTTTTTTAAAAAAGATAGCTGGTACCCAAATGCCCTGCACCTGAGTGCTGATTCATACATTGTGGTCTATAAAGGTTGTGCCTGGGTTAGTCAGATACAAGTGGGAGACTCCACAAGGACTTCGGGGGGGAGGGCTCTCATTCCCATCCCCCATCATTTCCTCTTCCATTTCCTGAAAGCCCCCATAGCCTGTCCCCTGGAGAAAATGGCCGCTTCTGAGGGCAGGCGCTATGGCATCACATTCCTGATGAGTCCCCCCCAAAAAACCCGGTCCTCTTCAGGCTCTGCTCCCAAATCTCCAGGAATTTCCCTACCCAGAGCTGTCAATCATATGAGTCACAAAGATCGGTCTGACTCCAAAGGTCCCAACCTCCTTTTAAAAATGGTCTTCCTTACAGGCAGAACAAGTCTCACTGCAACTATGAAAGGGGAGATTCCACCACGGATGGCTGGTGCATTCAAACAAGTGAGCCCCTATTTGAATTTGAGGGATACCGCGAGATCCTCCCGAATGTATGACTCGCATTTGACAAGAGATAATACGAATAATGAGATAAGAACTGTGCAATATGGTTTGGAGAGTAAAGGTGTCATTCCGAGATCTATTTTTTTTTAAAAAAATGGTGCCCTCCCGCAGACCTCATTTTGCACTGATAAATTAAATTTTCCATCAATGTATCCAAGCTGGTTCTGTTTCCCCAAGGGTATTCTAATTAATTCGTTTCAACTGTAGCTTTTAAAAAATGGAAGCTTCCTGACTGTACATATTAATGGATACTTTAAAATCCGTCGGCGGTATTCTTTTTACATTCTGTCGGAGCGTTATAAGATCCAAGCATTACCTCTGAAAACAACATTCCCAGAAGGCATTAAGGCTTTAAAAAAAAAACCCGTTTCTGGGTTTTTTTGTTTTTGTTTATTTGGTGTTTGAATAACGTCCCGCATCCAAGCCCTCTCAGCAAATGTTACAAAACTAATTTGAGCTTTAGTAAATGAAGGGGAACTGAAATCTCAAGTATTTTAAACACACTTTAGCAAAGCACATATAAAACAAGTAAACAAGTTAAAATGAACTGATTCTTTTTTTAATGCTGTTGCTTTATTTTAGAATCGGATCAAATTTTCGTGAAAATAAATGTCCACTGGGACTTTCTATCTCCACTTAACTGTGGCTTGGGTCTTATAGTGATTGCTATACAAGGCAATGCCTGCCCTTCCATGATGTGTGCGGACAATTAGGGAAACATCTGTCAAGGGCCCAGTTCTTACCAAGGGCCACTACATGTTATGTTGTTTCTGGGTCCACTCAGTTCCTGTCAAACCAGATACGTGCTGGGAGTTCCATGCTGAAATGTAGTTCTCAAGCGCATGGGGCACCCACTTTGAATTGTGATTCTGGCACAACGGTGGCCCTGGAGAGCAGCCAACTTGCCCCACTGTGGAAACTCATATGTCAGTATGCATGTTTTCCCAGTGGGACAAATAATGGCTCCCTAGGACCATTTCAACTCAGAAACATCCGAATGCACACCCCTAGGTTTAAGCTCTTTCTCCCCACAGTCTTGATCCAAATTGGGCCCCTGCACACCTGAGAATTAAACTTCAGAAATCACTGGGAGCTCCAAACATTCTGGTTTGACAGGACTCGGGGCAGGCCCAGAAACAGGGTAATGTGTGATCAGGCCCTAAGGCCTGGGTGATATCACATGACACTTGTGCCTGGGTGGTATCACATGAAAGAACCGTCCCTTATGAGAAATGACTAGTTCAAATAAAATACTACTATGTTAGGGCACAGGCTTGGCTCAAACCCTACTCCCTGACGTGCCTATTAGCTATGCAAAGTTTGGGTTTGGAGGAACATCCTAGGATGAGGGTCTCCACCTGATGTTATTGACTGGGTAGGCAGAATCGGAGACAGGCGGGGAAAGAGCCAGGAATGTTGGGTGCAGAAGCAGCTTGGTTTTTACCCTAAAAACAAATAGTTCAGACTGAGGGAACATGCTAAAACTTGAAGTTGCAAAGTCTGGTAAAATTTCACTGGTCTTTGGGTCACCCAAAAACTGCTAAGTCAACACATTACAGTACCTCTTTCCAGCCAGCTGCCTTGGTGGTGTTCATGTACAAAAGATAAGGAACAGCCCCCTCTCTTCTCATATAGATATGCCTACATGGTTCTGCTATTGTGTATTTGTTGCTGATCCCTGCTGCACTGATATTGTGCAGTCCCTGGGAGCACAAGTCTCTTTCAATCACGTGATCACCATACTCTCTGTCTTATTGTTTCACACGATCGAGACTTATGCTACTAAGGAACTCACCATATCAATGCAGCAGGGATCAGCAACAAATACACAATATCAGAACCATACAGGCGTACTGTAAAATGATAAAAAGCAGTAATCTATGGAGGTATCTTCTCTCCGGCTTGCTCCGCCACCCTTCTGTGGTTGCTTTTTCTCTTCTACCTCTCTGGTTGTTGCTTCCTCTCCCATCTCCTTTGGTGTAGTGGTTAAGTGCGCGGAGAACCGGGTTTGATTCCCCACTCCTCCACTTGCACCTGGCTGGATGACCCTGGGCAAGCCATAGTTCTGTCAGAGGTGTTCTTGAAAAAGAGCAGTTTCTGTCAGAGCTCTCTCAGCCCCACCTACCTCACAGGGTGTCTGTTGTGGGGAGGGGTAGGGAAAGGAGTTTGTAAGCTGCTCTGAAACTCT